AAAAAATGACTGCTGGAGCTGAACCCGGGACCCCAACCCAAACCATTCTGTGGTTCTGTGCTTCTAATTTCTCAAAAGAATGATAATGTCTTCAGTACGTTTACTGGTGTAAGCCACATCTTTCCAGTTTCTGCTTAGAGGTGTCAGAAACACCAACCAACAAGAAGGTCTTAACAGTAGACTCAGCAGCAAACTGTGGTCCTTGCAGAGTTACTGTGTGAATTATCAATGAGTCACATTCTGTTCTTGGTTGGTTTCAGACCTGCACAGCTCACCACTGTGGGGAAACGCTGCTGCTTGTGGATTCAGGACTTGTGCATGGACCTGCGGAACCTGGAGCGGGCTCGGGATGACCTGCGCTTTCGGGGTGTCAAAGGCACCACCGGCACTCAAGCCAGCTTTTTGCAGCTCTTTGAGGGAGACCATAATAAAGTAAGTCAGACAGCCCACGGCGTAGACTTGCAGTCTTGGCAATTCTCCCCTCTGGAATGCTGTTCTCCTTGGCGGAACGTGGAGATTCTGGCATCAAATTCACAAGGGCACTGTGATATCTCTGGGGCCCACTGGCAAGGCCCTGTGTGAAAGTGAGCAGAATTTGGGGAGAGGGGGCTTCCCAACAAGTAAAACTTCTGTTAACAGTAAGCTGAGAAAAGCAGAGGATCCTTTTCACTGTTGCTGACGTTCCTGAGTTGTTGCATTCTGAGCTCTGTTTTGTTTTGTTTTGTTTTTTTCCTTCACCCTGAGGTTGAAGAGCTGGACAGATTAGTAACTGCAAAGGCAGGATTTAAGCGGTATGTACCTGTATCTGGTGTTAGCAAAGTGTTACTCCTGCTGTCTCTGTTGGCCTAGCTTCCCCTCGCTGCCAAACTGACACATGTGCTGCTGTTGACTTATCTCCCCATGCCATCTTCCATTCCCAGTTGCAGCTTCCTGCAGGAAACTTCACCTTCTAAATAAGCTGCTTCTACTTGTCTCCCTGCCAAAGCACAGCTGTCAATTCTTCCTCTGTTTTTCTCTTTGCCTTCTGCATGCTGCCCCAAGAAATTGACAGCCTGAATCCAAAGTTGTTCTCATGAGGGCAGAGTGACAGCCCTCCACTTCAAGAACCATGTCACTCCTTGTTCAAAGTCTTGCAGTACCGTTGTACCTGTCTGGAGCACTCACCTGTGCTTATTTCTAGGGCTTTTATGGTCACAGGGCAGACCTATAGTCGCAAGGTGGATATTGAAGTCCTGTCTGTGCTGGCCAGTCTGGGGGCATCTATACACAAGGTGAGCACCCTGTTTTATACACTGGAAAGAGGGAAAAGCATTTTAGATTGTGAAGAGAAGGTGCTCATGGTGCAGGGTTCTCTTCTCAAGAAATATTAATTGGTATTCCTTGTTTAGCTGTTCTGTTTGTGAGCATGCAAATTCACCGCTGGGTACATATCTAGTAATCAAACCTCAAAGATCTTGAGACCAGTGGCAAATAAAGCAAGTTACTGAGCAGACTCTAAGATGGGTTAACAAATCCCACACCAGATGTTAGTCTAATCTATGCTAAATTGATCCAATTAAACTAAATGTCTTTCCTAGTGGTATACGGAGTTTTTGTATTTCACCATTTGTTCCTAGTTAATTGCTTCTCTGATAATGGTGTTATTCTGTCCTTGTGGATGCTTTTCATTGATTTATCTCTGTTCCCTCCCTCCTTCTCTTGGGCTGTGGTATTCTCTTTATTTTTGTAGGCTGGCTCGTTCAGCAAACACACATTATCTGTGTTTGCAAATCACTGTGTAATTTTGTTATGCATTTTCAGTGTTCCCTCCTGGTCTGTCTTCCATTCCCTTCAAACACTTGCCCTTCTTGGAGTCCTGTTATGTTCTAATGCATTCTTCCTTATGTTTTCTTGGCTGGGATTTTTAGGCAGGAAGTACGATTGCAGTGTCAATCTTTCTGTCAAATTTTTCAGTGCCCTCCCAAGTTTGCTTCTCAGACACAGATGAAAACACTTATCCAGTAACACTAACAGGAGTATATACTGGTGTGTATTAGTTTGGTTCTGTTTGTTAATTTCTGTGGGGTTTTTTCTAGATCTGTACTGACATTCGTCTTTTGGCCAATCTGAAGGAGATAGAGGAGCCTTTTGAGAAAGACCAGATTGGTAAGGGATGGGAGACGTTTCCTGGATTGGTGTGTGTATGTTTTAATTTATGTTGCTGCAGCCTTTTAATGATACTTAGAAATGTCACCGACAGTAGTCGTTTTAAGTTAACTGGGGTTTGACATTATTAGTATTTTAGGTCCTTTTTAAAGAAAAAGAACTTAAAAACAGAAAAGAAAAAACAGGCACTTTACCCGAAGGTTTTTGGATAGTAAGTAATTAAAATCAGATTTGTATTCATGCCCTTCGTGGGTCAGGGAGGAGAGCAGAAGCAGTCATGCATACCCCATTCCCCACAGAGGAAGACTTGGCTCTGAGGAGTACTTACTTTTTTCCATTACCCTTGAAGCTGACTGGAGCTGTAGGTTTTCAGATTGACTCAGCGTTTTGGTCTTTATAAACAGGCTAGTTTGGAACAATGAAACTAGGCTGGACCCTTGCCAGAAGAATACCAGTGTTGCATTTCTGACATTACTAGAAGGAAGAGATTTGGCTTTTGGCTGGAAGAAAGTTCAGGTCCCTTAAATAGTTGCGTAGGATTGAATTGGCAAATGAAGCCTTAGTCAGATCTGTTACTTGAACCATTCTGTGGATGGTTTTGATACCCATTCACCAGAGCAACTGGCAGCAGTGTAAGTGTCTGACTTTGAAGGACAATATTATTGAGCAGATGGGGTCTTCAACGTTGCTCAAGTTGCCACAGGTATCCTAGAGAGATGGTGCTAAGTACTGCGTTAAAAATTAAGTCCATTTGTTCTTTTTATGTGGTAGCACTTCTGTCTTGCGGAATTGCAAATTCTCTTTTTTCCTCCCCACATTTGGATGTTTCTAATGTGAAGGGGAAGTGTGGTGGTGTAATTTTCTTTATTCCGTCTTGTCCTTAGAAAATCATATTTTGAGGCTTTAGTAAAAACATGATTCCTGACACATTTTTCTTACCTGGGGGAGGACCTTCACCTCTTCATCTTGAGCGTACTACTTCTGTTGCCCTGTTCCCATCACTCTTTCTCCTTTCACAGGTTCAAGTGCTATGCCTTACAAGAGGAATCCAATGCGTTCAGAACGCTGCTGCAGCCTGGCTCGACATCTGATGACTCTGGTGCTGGATCCCCTCCAAACAGCCTCTGTGCAGTGGTTTGAGCGAACGTTGGATGACAGTGCCAACAGGTTTGTTTAGATCGTGCGACGCAGGGATTTCAGCAGGTCTTGTGCAGAAAGGCCCTTTGATGTATTTAGAAAATACTATTTTTAAACTTAACCCACAAGTTACCATCTTGATGAAAAGCAGTCTCAGAATCTAGAGACTACACACTTGTTTCGTGTATAAGATCAGATTAAAACTGTTGGGGTTTTTTCTTGTCAAGAAGGGATGCAGAAGCCATGGTAATAAGTTGCTCTCATGGTCTTCTTGTTTCAATGGCATATTATAACAGTATTCACATTTCTCAAAATTTTCTCCTTGTTTTGAATGTGATTTTTGACCCCGTTCTTCTTCACGTAAAAGAATAAGCCAACATTTTATTTGTAATCCCTTAACCCCCTGAATACTCTAAAGAAACTTATTCTAATCTCTTTGTAAAGTGTTGTCCTTTACAAGAACTAAAGAACAGTAAGTAAACAAGTTCAGATCCGAAAGAAAGAGCACAAACATTATTTTTAAGTAATGTTTCAGGAAAACCTATGCAAGTCTTTCAGAGACTGCTCAGCAAACTTTGCTTTCTGACTCTTCATTATGACTATTTTGAGGTGAGCAAAAGTTATCTGTGATTATTATCAAGCAAATTACAGCAATTAAATTCAATGCTTCCACTTTCTGGTTAGCACTAAATCTGCATAAAGCTCGTATTTACATTTTAAATGTTGTAGTTTCAAAGTAGTCTTTTGTTGCAGAATTTGATCTCCTAGAATCGTAGAAGTCTTTAGATTCCTAAGGTATGGGGCTTTTGGAACAATGAGCAAGAGTTTTGTCTATAAACCAGTGTTAAGATTGTTGATGAGCACATTATTTTAAAAATGTCTCCACAGACATAATGTCTGCATAAAACGTCATGAAAGCGTAGAAGATCTTTTCCCAAAAGAACTTTCCTCCACAGCTGCTACTGTGGTTAAGAAAAGAGCTGCACAGGCAGCAGCAAACAATTTGAATTTAAGAAAGTTGATACTGGTTGGTATGGTACACTTTCCCAATAGCTACCAAGTGTTGAGAGATGTTCTGGGATGCTTCAGATTTTACTTTCGTCTCATCTAATAGAAAGGGTCATTTGTCCACTTCATAATCCGATTAAAAAATTATGTGCCTTGGATTTTTCTTGTTAAAGCTACAGTGTTTTGAAAGGAGAAAATGCAATCAACCTACAAAACAGCAAAATCCTTTTTACGACACTGAGCTAGAACTGGGGCCTTAAACGTAGCACAAGGTTCAAGTACTAGTATATTTTAAAAGATGACAGTTTAGAATGGGCCCAGCACTGCTATCACGGGTGGATAATGGATCATGCTGTAGTTGCTGCACTGTGACATAGAGCCTTTTGCCTGATACAGCTCAGTCCCCACTACTCCTTTTGTTTCCCTCCTTTCCTTTTTGTCAGGAGCCTCCTCTGTGACCAGGAGCTGGTCTTTTGGAGGAAGCCCCCACTAAATGCATGGATTGCTTTGAAAGTTCCCCGCTGAGCACAGCCAGGCACAGCATGAGTGTGCAGCAGTCTTACTCCTGGAGAGTGAGATCAGGGCAACATAGAGCACAGGAAGATACTCATGAGTTTGCTAGCTCTCTAACTTGCTTCCCTCTTTCCTACCTGTGTAATCATTGTATTATCTTGGGCTTTATAGGTGTGCTTTCACCCTTTCTCTTCCTCTCTCTTCCTCTACTGACAATAATAACAACAACAACAATAAATAATAATACAAACCAAAACCCCCTCCTTTCTCCTCAGCTTAAGAGCTATTGCTATAAGATGTTCTTTAGCTTTCCTGGTTGTGACATTTAAGCACCAAGCAGCACCCATAAGGAGAACAGTTCCAGCTTTAAGGCCACAGTAGTGCTATTTAGAGTTATTTACAGAAACTGAAGAGCTGGATCTGAGGTAGGGTGGAACATGGCCTTTCTTGCTAACTGGGGCCCTGGGTATGTGTGTTTCATAGGCGCGTGTGTCTGGCTGAGGCTTTCCTCACAGCTGACATCATTCTGAGTACACTGCAGAATATCTCCGAGGGACTTGTGGTATATCCAAAGGTAAAGCAGGAGATAATGTGTGCAGTGGTGCTGCCTTGGTAAGGCTGCAACTATGCCAATGTGTATAAATATCATTCCACTCAAAGGATTCTGTTTTTATCTGTTAAAACGGAAACTATTCAGAAAACTGAATATAAAATATTCAGGTTTTTATAGTTTCTGAATTTTGCTCTCTATTCTTGCTATAGTCTCACTGTGTGCAGGGCAGACATGAAAAGGGTACTTGTTAAAGCCAAAAGATAGTAAATTGAAAACTTCTCACAGAGGTTATTTTTAACCTGAGCTACAACATGGATCTGTAGAACTCGGCATCAGAAGGCACATCTCATACAGTCCTGTCACTTACCTACAGGTTAAAAAAAAAATAAACAATTGTATATCTTTTCCATAGTAATGTCCCTTACAAGATAGAGCTTCTAAGTATTATCAGCTTCAAGACCTGGAGTTCCAGAGCTAAGTTCACAAAGAGAAATTATCTTTGCATCATTGTCCAGTCCTGGAGATTCAAAGGGAGAGGAAAACTTCACTGGGAGTCCCAGTCCACAGAATTTCTAAAATGCTGCTTCTTACTTCTGTTTTGGTTTTGTTTTATTTAAGGTGATTGAGAGGAGGATCCGTCAGGAGCTGCCGTTCATGGCCACAGAGAATATAATCATGGCGATGGTGAAAGCAGGAGGCAATCGTCAGGTACAAATGCAGTCCAGAATACCTTTGTTCACTGCCTGGCATTTGAGTCCTGAGAAAACAAAGTATCTGGGCTCTTGCCCTGACTGTCTCACCTTTCTTTGTTCTCCACCTACTCCCACAGAGTTATTAATATTACACTGGTGCTGCAAAGCCAGTCTCTGCTCTCTCAGGAGAGCAATTGTGGAGATCCATGTTTTCTGTTAGGAACACTGTGTGTTTGAGCTAATCTGGCCGGCTGTGCTGGAGAAGAGGGAGACCTATTTTTATACTAGATACTAGTAGGCATTTTCCTTTTGTAAATGTTTGAAGGAACTTGGAACACAGGCCAGGCTTCTTTAAATGGAATATGTTGGCAGTTGGCTACCTTATAAATTAGAAGAATGAATCAGTGCTGCTAAAGAAAAAGCAAGTAAGACCATTCCATACCATTCACTCACATGTCATTCTAACCCTAATTCAGCATAGTGCTTTTTATTATTGTTTATGGTCCTTCATTCAGTTTTCTGTGTTCAAGCAAATAGAAATTAAATGTTTTCCTTTAGTAAATAAATCCAGGCACAAGTAGATAATATTTCCTTATCATTTAATTTCACAATTCAATTTAAAACTGATAATCAAATTTACATCTTAATAAAACAGCTTATTTTCACTCACCATAAGATAGTAATTTTTTCCTTTTATGATTACTTCCACATTAGGGACAGCAGTTAAATTTGCAAGATAGTAATAGTGGAAGTGTTTGCTAGAAGCTTTGCGTGGGATATGTGGCTCTAGTTCTCTGAAACACTTTGGCAACTCACCCATGATGTTAGTCAGGAAACATACTTTTTGTTTGTTTGTTTTTCCCCTGTGTCTCTCATGTTTGTGACTGGGTCAGTCAGTAAGCTTCCTAACTAAACGTATTAAGGGTCACACCATGTGGATAAGTTTCATTATCTTTTCAGCTGGTTCCCTTTCTAAAGTATCCCATACTTACTTAAACAGTCCTTTCGCTTTTGGTTAGATTGAAGAGTGAATTTCATTTGTGTTTATTATTGGCCTACCTTCTTTCTGGTGCTGTTTAATTACAAATCTATAGAGTTTAGTTCATTTATAAAAGCTGTTCATATTCACATTCGTATGTTTCATTTTTATGTGCTGAGAACTCTGGAACAGGACATTTTCTGTGTTTTCCCACCTCATAGCACAGAAACTCACTTCCTTTCCCCACTAGTGAACAGCACCCTCCCCTAAACTTCAGGAGGCAGATCTGTTCGCATGACACAGGTCAGTGCTGGAGCAAGATGGCATCTGGAAAGAGGAAACAGGATTATTTTCCTCTTAACTGAAGACAGATCAAGGAAAATATGTAAGAGGAGAAGATTCATACATGGCTGTAAATGCAACCACATGACTGTATTTTAGGGCCATCTGGTTTTGCAGTTGGGTTCCCTTGTTTTTACAGATTGATTCCACAGGAAGGCAAGGGATTAGAAAGTCTTTCAGAACAGTTATTGTAATGGTTTTGCCAGTCTTAGTGCCATGTAAGAGTTCTTCAGGAGAGAATGTGAGGCGTCCCTGCCCATGGCAGGGGGGTTGGAACTGAATGCTCTTAAGGTCCTTTCCAATCCAAACCAGATTCTGATTCTAAGTTTGTGGCATAATTGAACAGGGGACATATGTGACATTCAGACTGTTTTAGTCTCAAAGAGCAGATACAGAAGAATAAAGAAAATCTAGTTTTAATACAGTGGTCTATGAGACTCTGCAGTCCAAGCTGTGTCTCATTTGTGTGCTGTCCAGTGCAGCTCCCTTTGCAGCACCCTTTGATGTTTCTCCCTCCCACACAATGGATGAACATGTGCTGTCAGTAGCAATGGAATGACTTTTTTCTTTTCCCCTCCTCTTCTCCCTGCTCCTATAGGATTGCCACGAGAAGATTCGTGTTCTCTCCCAGCAAGCAGCTGCTGTTGTGAAACAGGAAGGGGGTGATAATGACTTAATTGACCGTGTTCGTGCTGATCCTTACTTTAGCCCCATCCATAAACAACTGGAAAGCCTGTTAGATCCCTCCTCTTTCACTGGACGTGCTCCTCAACAGGTAAGTAGTGGAAAGAGACTACAGGTCCTATGGGTTGTAATGCAGCAACATGTTGCTTAATGCTGCGTCCTGTTTTATGCCAGAGAATGCACACATTATGTACCTCTGCATACTACTAAGGCAGACACATTTCTCTCTTTTATTTTCCTTGGCTTTCTTGACTCTCTTCCCTGTGGGCTTCACACTTTTGACCCTGGACATACCAGACTGCTAGGTGGCTCTGTGAAAGGGACCCTAGTGAGAAAAACAGGCCTGAACAGGGAGGAGAAGAGAGGCCACTTCTTTTGCTCATTTTCTTTTCCCTGCCTTTCTTGAACAGGTGGCAAAGTTCCTGAAGGAGGAGGTTCGACCGGCGCTGATTCCATACCAAAGTAAGATGGGTGGGAAAATTGAGCTGGCACTTTAGATATATTCTGCAAAGGTGTGTGGGTACAGAAAGATAATAAAAGCCTTATTGAACCAGGTCTCTTTAGTGTGTCATGTAATTTTGGGTTCTCTACAGTACATTTAACCCCCAGAGCTTACAACCACCTTAGTTCTAGATGGGTTTTTCATTCTTTGCCTGCTGTTTAATTAAGCCTCCATCTATTGTGTGCTGAGTTACTGAGAAATGCTTGAGTGTGACAAGGTAACTTTATCACAGTCCTTTTCAATGGCTCCTTACAGAGCACCAGCAGCTGTTTAAGAAGCAATGCCAGGTGCTGCCTGAAATTCATGTGTGAATGACTTGTTGAAGAGCAGGGGTAAGGGGAACAGGCCACCCCCATTTGCATCTTATTCATCTGCTCTGAAATTTCCTCCACAGGTGTCTCAAAAGATGATAAAAGGTTGCCCTGGCTTTCAGGGTTCTGTGATTTAGGGAGCAAATAGGAAAAAAAAACGCTAGGAATAATGAAAGAGAAGCCATAGAACTTCTTGGCTTATCAAACTTGTGGTCATTCAGTGCTTCCTTCCTGGTTAAATACTGTACCTGTGGCTATGTAGCTTCTGAAAGTCATATTTACAGGTGTGGGTTAGGAAACAGCCATTGTGATTTACTTTTACAGGTCTTTGGCTGTAAGTAAATGCTTGATACTGAATAATGGCAGGTGGACCCTGGCATGTCAAAGTAATTCCTACTGCAGAGGAGTTTTGTCTGTTAAGAAAATAATAATAATGTTGGAATTCATTGGATTGCAGAGAAATTCAAGAACTTTGGTCTTATTTCTTGTTGACCATACTGTCCTCTCATCTAGAATGCTCTGGCTTTACCTCACCTCTCTGCTATAGTATTCAAAATGTCTCAAACATTTGTGAAGTTTATGGTGTTTAAAACGTTTTGCCTGTTCATGCTATTAACATTTAATTAGCCATCTGTTTGGAAAGGGTAACTCTAATTGAACACTGGCAATTTTCAAACTATTACTCAAATGGGTAGCCAAGAAAGAAAACAGATATATGTGGATACTCCTGCTTTTTTGGTCCTCTTTCCTCATTCTTTGTGGGCTTAAAACACATAAACACAAAAACAACCCTGTATGCAGAGAAGAGAAACAGCTCACATCTCTTTTTCTCATCATCAGGAAATATGTCTTTGTGCAAGGCAGAGGCTGCCAGCTGTGAGGCACTGGACTTGTTTTCCTGGGAAGTTTTAAAAGCATAACAACGATGCATGGGAAAACGTCACCCTCCTAGAGACCTGTGGCACAATACACAAATCCTTTGGGAAACTTCTCTGGTTTGCAACCTCGCTCTCTCTTTTCCAGCAGAGGCACCAGCCAGAGATGTAGTTTCTTCCTCTCCTTGGTATTAACCTAGACATGAATGATGGAAAAGAACTGAGTAGGTTCTCAGCACCTTACAAGCATGTGAAGGTTTGTCACCCGGTCGCTGCCGCCCTACTCACCCTAACAGCGAGTGTGGCGGGCAGGACT